GTTCGAGGACTTACTTGAAAGAAAATATCCCTTGGAAAACGTGCGAATTTCGGATTCTTTAACTTGTGTGGTGATAAAACACTGAAGTAACTAAGAATTGCTAAGCGGACACCTCTAAATCACGAAGATTTTGTGTGGACGGAATCAATTGTTATTGGAAATACTCTGGCCTGGCATCGATTCGATCCTTGATGTTTGTCCTCCGACGATGATCCTACTGTATCAATCGGGCCCGATCTCTCCCCAGCGGGCCAATACGACCCCCCCCTCTGTGACATGTCGAGGATTCCTCAACGCACGCTTGACCCTGAGTGTAAGTACAATTACAGGCTGGTGCTCTCGTTTTGATTTATACCGACGGTTCAGTGCTGGTTTCCCACGGAGGTATGGAAATGGGCCAAGGGCTGCACACGAAAATCCTGCAGGTTGTTTAAATAGAACTTCTTCGTATAAGTTTCACATATTTTATGAAGGCTTTTTTGGGAGAGATTTGTAAAAATAATCCATCGTTCAGATAACAGCTCGAATTTTGGACATTCCTATCGAAATGGTGCATATTCATGAGACAGCCACGGACAAGGTTAGCATAGGCTGTATGCTGAATATCATCCTTTTCATATTTTTAATGCATCGGAACATGCACAATGACTCAGAGGACTAGACTGACTCATAATAACACATATTTCCAGGTTCCGAACGCTTCTCCAACAGCTGCGTCAGTGGGAAGTGATATGAATGGTCTTGCTGTGCAGGTATTTTTTTTATCAGAGTCTGCCTGAATAGGGGGGGGGGCATTGGTGCAACATCTCGTACTGCCTACTAGAGTACCCTGATTTCCGGTAGATCAGCCCGCAGCAATATCACGTAAAAACACCTCCGCTAGTGCATTGTAATTTTGTACACCTTAGAAACTACCGTGAATTTGCCTATATGATTCAATGTCCTCATTACAAAAAACCTTCCTTTCTGTCGGTGTCGCCAGTTGGCGTCACCTTGTCTTTTCCAGATTCGGTGTAAACTTTCGTATAGTGATATTCGGTGTCCTGATATCGAATATGACTTTCATTCTCAGCGCTGGCGCTATTTGGCGTCTATTTTCTGCTTCGTCTGTGTGGCTTCTAATCGAGAAATATTAACTAATCGTCAGATGCCAGAATGAATGTTCATATTTTCGTAATCGGACACGAATAACCCTATACATATTTTACACGATTTGGTGGAAAAGCACAGGGTTGTGTGACAGGTGGCAGCCAACTGTGCAGATGGCGCCACCGCTAAAAATGAATGTCGTTCTCGTAATCACCATATCTAATTAACTCTCTGGACAAGTTACGGTACTCTCTAGATATACGCAAGTGCACTGCCCCCACCAGCGGAGGTGTTTTTACGTGATATTGTCGCGAGCTTATCTACCGGAATAGGATAATTCATATTTTTCGGGTGGAGGAATGCGTGTGGTGTTACTTACCCATCTATTCATCATGCATAAAATGTCTTACCGAAACAACAACAAAAAATTAATCATTTTAGGATGCTTGTAATAAACTCCTGAAGCGCTTGGAGCCTTTCAAAAAGGCCAACCCCAAAGGAACATGGGTAGAATGGGTTCGTCAAGCTTACGTGGAGCGGGTTTCGTTGTCAGCTACCGGGTTTGGAATGTATGTGAGAGTCAATTTGCGTCAACGGTGGAACAGTTGTGTTGATCTATCCAGATGCTTACTTTTTCCAGAATTCACAGCGAAACTGTCGACTTCTTCAATGGCAAAGGAGCCGAGATGTTTGGCTATTGCGTATATGGAAGTGCTTGCTGTGAAGTTGAAGTTGACTGCTTAACAGGAGATCATCACGTACGCTGTTTTTTGATGTTCGAATCTCCTACAGCTAATCTATTTCTTACAGCACGACTATGTTTTTAGCTCCTACGAACTGACATTGTAATGGACGTTGGTGACTCACTGAATCCAGCAATAGACATCGGTCAAATAGAGGGAGCATTCGTGCAGGTATACAAATACAAATGTAGGGAAAAGTGGGTCAGTGAAAATGAGTTCATCTTTAGGGTTATGGCCTATTCACCATGGAGGAAATAAAGATTCGACCCGACGGTGTACGGCTGACGCGAGGGCCAGGCAATTACAAAATTCCGTCAGCAGACGATGCACCAGCGACATTTCAACGTTCGGCTACTGAAGGGATCCAGTAACCGAATGGGGAATATTTTCGTCTAAGGTCTGATACAAGTACCTCGACTCTATTTCTAGGATTACAAATCTAATCGTTGTCGATTCCTTTCTCCTTTTAAGGCAGTTGGCGAACCACCACTGTTCCTCGGAGCCTGATGCAATTTTTTGCAATGAGAAGCAGCTCGGTCGCTCGTCATTAGAGATGGTCTCAAGGATACTCCGATCGATTCGCCAGCTCCCAGAACAAATCCGTTCTGGCATGCGAGACGAGATCTTAAACAAAGTTTGTTCCCCCGTCTTCCTCACTAAAAATTTATGTATTACATAAAATTTTAGGTACCACAGCTACCAGCAAAAGGTACATACACTCCATGGACAGTCGCCTTATAACACAGTTATCTGTCGCTTATAACGTTATGTTGATGGGCCAAACACTGCTGTGCAAATGTTACACATAAATTTGCGACAGCACGATTATTTTTAAGATATGTATTCAGAGTATAACAGAGTAGATGTATTACTGAGAAGAAACTCTATCATATAATTGTAAAATACATGCAATGTTCTATTACTGTCACTTGATCCGGTGTAAGTGCCGCTCTACAAGACCTCAACGAATTTACGAAGTATTTTGTTGTTGAATGTGGAATGCAATAAAGAAAGAATGATAATTCTTGTTCGATTTCCGTTGCCCAAGGCAGACGCAGCAAAGGTCAACGCGTTACCCAGTCAGCCATTACCCTCATTCCGGTAGAAAGGCCTTAGCTAATTTCATTGAAAAACATTTCCAATCGTGCAGTATGCTTGCGTACACCTACAGACTATCGTAACTTTGGCCATAGAGGTAATTCGATGTCCCAATTACAAAAATGGTGTCATCTTCAAGCGGAGGCGCCACCTCATGTGCCAGTGGTCTTGTCACGACCCTTGTTGGGTTTTTCACTGAATTTGGGTGATTACGCTTCCAATGTTAGGGGTTATTTGTGTATCGTCCGATTTCATTCACTACCACAGACGTCGTTTGAAATATATATATATATATATACTGCTCCCTCCCACGGGAAAAATCAAATATGCGTTGAACACCACCCGCCAAAAACGAATGTCATTTGTAATCTGTTCACCAATGATCCCTATACAGAAATTTACACCGAATTTGGTGAAAACAAGGGACGTTCCAAGGTGTGAATGTCATGTTCCCAAGCAGCGCATCGAATCACCCGATGCCCAAAGTTGCGGGACAGTCTTGCGAGGATGTACGCAAGTTACACTAAGTGACATCGGAGGCGTTTTACGCGACACTAGCTCGGGCTTATCTACCAGAATTTAGGGTAGTCACTATGCTGCTAAATCAGAGAAGACGTCAGACGAAGCTCCAAAATGTGCCATGAATATTGCACCGGAATTGACTGGCCATATTTCCCCTATCCTCCCGTAGGTTCTTCGAAACCACAATGCTAATCTTTTCGAATTCAAGATTGAAAAAAGAATAAACCGCTGTTGTCATGCAGGCATAAGGAGGATGACCAGTGTATCGGTGTTTCTAAAGGAGCCCAAGCAAAATGAGGACAAACAAGTGTTAGATAGAAACCTCATAATTTTGCCTAGGGGGCAGGCTCAACTCAAGCACATGGCCACAGCAAAGGAAGTCGTGTGGTTGCCAAGTGCCGGGCAAAGCGACCGCTTCGAAATCGCGCTCCCTAACGTATTTTTTCACCGTTTAGCAAAGTCACAGATGTTTAACTTCGTGGGTGCTCGATCGAGCTCTCAAATAAGCCGATAATAGGAGGGAATGCTGTTGGCAAGCAGCAGTTGCTTCCCGCAATGATTTAAGGAATCCTTCACGGAAAAATCATGATTCTATTTCAGCCATAAATCACTGGCTTGAGACTCATTATCCACGATAATAATGAAAAGAACAGAAAATTGCTTTTGTTTTGGTAAAAAAAAATTCGAAAAATCGAAAGGGCTGCTACGCGTTCAAAGTGCCCACGACGTCTTTCACAAATGCTGGGGATGTGTCGCGCCGGCATGGACGCCTTGCTCCTCGCATAAGAGCATCGGGGTCATCCCTGCTTAGGAGCGGCGTCATGTCGGCGTGAGGGTAGCTACGGGGACTTACGCCGCGCTCGCTGCCCGCCACTATGCCACGCGGACTCCTAGTAGGCCTAAGCAGCCCCGACTGGAAGTACACCACAACCCACTACGTACCACATTGCCATGGACTACGCCGTGATGTTAACTACCTAATAGAACTACGCCTTATGACGACTCAATGGGCCCGGCCTACGGGCATCTCACACTCTATGTGCGTACGCAACATACAGTTAGCGGTCAAAAGTGTTCGCCGAAATGATTTTTCGTGCATTTCCTCACTTGAGAAACGCCCTCCAAAGATTGATATACTACGGGGGGGGGCAAAAAAGTCACTTCATTCACATTCAAAACAGAATTAATTACACTTTGCCAAAACCAAACCGAATGAGCTCAATTGCATATTGAAGAGCACATTCTATTCTATCAAAAAATTACATAGGGGCTTTCTACACCGACGACATCAGAAGATTTTCCCACGGAAACATGGTTCACGGTACGAGCTCAACGAGGTCGTCGAGAAACCATAGACGATTACGACGTCTCTGAAACGCTGGTCAAAAGCCATTTGCATAGTCACAGCTAGTGTCTCTAAGAAGCTATTCACCAGTTATCCGATTGAAGAAATTATGTAGCAGCTTCAGAATGGAGCGATTATGGTAGGCCTCCTTGAGCTCGACGGTGATGACAGATGACGTCATATTCTGGAGACGGTGAACGCAGCGAAGGTGGGCCTGATTCTGCTTATGGGGGGACATCTAAGGAATATTTGCCGTATAACTCCCAATAACAGCGGCATCCTTTGCGACAGAAACTTTGATGATGTACGCCATGATGAGTGATCTTTTATGGTTTTCTAGTGAGCTTATATCCTTGAGTCTTAAAGAATCAGGATATTCAAAAAAAGTTCCGAGGTCATCACTGTTTTTTTCTGGCAAAAGAAGAGAGGAGCACGAAACACCGTTTCGGCGAACACTTTTGACCGCTACTGTATATAAGCACAGAAAATGTAGATGTAATCGTCTGAGTTCTTGTACACAACATGACAAAAATGAGACCATAGATTCATGTAAAATGTTAAACTATGAGAGAAAGGAAAATATTACAATTCTAGACGACTACTACGACTCACGGGTCGATCAAGATGCGTCCGTTACGGGGAGGGCGACGTGGGTTGGCTCCGCTTTCCATCCCTGGACATCCATGCGCTGATCCACTCGCTGACGTACGAACAACTGGAGCGCGAAGTGGCAACGACGAAAGACACAGCGACGACAAGCGACTGAACTCGACTGCTGACTGCAGGTAAGAGAACAAATCCGTTTGGCATGCGAAGATGAGATTCTCTGGCGCTCTGCTTCTCTGGCGCTCTTCTCGAAGCTTCGACAGCACGGGCGCGCCAGGACCCGCGCACACCCGACCAGGCGCGACCCTTTAATTGAGTCGTACGGAAGTCACGACACTGGGGGCGGCGCACGACGAAAGGGGTCCCAGCGGCTACGGAGACCAGAGCCCGTCCTTACCTACTGCGACTACGCAGCTACGGTGACATACACGTTAGTCAAACGTCGACTCCCTACGGGGCCTAACTACCTACGCTGGGTTCGAGGGCAGATCTTATTGACGTCAGGGCCAGGTCGTCTTTCCCTAAGATACAATTGCTTAAATACGACAAAAATAATACAATTGAAACATTGAATCTATGATCTGCAGGATCGGAGCGAGGCGGCTGACAGATGACGAATAACTTCTTGACGCATCATCGTAGACTTGACAGCAGCTCGACGTTACAACAGTGACGACGTAGATTGCTGTGACGTACAGCTTCGAAGACGTTAAGTGCGACATCATACAACTAAGGGGTCAGTTAAGGGAAACATTAAAGAAACAAACCCGGGACAAGCAAAAAGATTTCAGTGGTCTCCCATCGCTCCCCAGGGGTGCTGCACTATGCAGAAATGGCGTTCCTACGTAGGTGAACAACAAATTCCTCGCCCACGCAAGCTGGCATAATAAGTTTTTCCTTCTCGTTCTACGGGTCACGCTGTAAATAAAAATATTAATAAACAATGACCGGATCTATGGCCCGCATGACACCAATAAATTAAATCATCTATTATAATACGGAGTAGAGAAAAAAATTGTCGTGTACTACGAAAGTACACTGTTCATTTACTACGAAAGACGGCTATATGATAGCGAGAAAGAGAAGCAGCCTAAGGCTCTCCTACCTCCTCCTCTCCCAACTCACCTGCTTCCGACGACTGCTCTTCTTCTCGCCTACGTTGCATCTCGAGTTGCCTACGTTCTTGATTGGCAGCATCTTCACGGACTACGCGTACGATCATTCGAGCCCTACGCATGCGAGCATGATAGTGCTCTGAGAGCACATCGCGGTATACGTGCTGGTTCCTATAGCAAAACGCGGTGTGATGCGTCTTCCTCCTATAGCGTTCGCACGTAATGCGACTAGACAACTGTACATGGCAATCTTGATCTAAGTGATCGCCTGCGCATTTAAAACAACGGCCGCTACGCGCATGCATGTGTATTCTATCGAAAAATACGGAAAATTGCAGCACTGCGCGCTGAAGTGGTGCTGGCGGCAAAAGAAGCAACGCGTGGATGTTGCTACGGGATCGTTTGGGCGAGTTCTTTACTTGTCCCTAAGACGACCGATGGGAGAATAAGCATCCGTACCAATGGTCGCCTGAGCGATCCAACCTGGGACGGGAGGCAGGTGAATCCTCTCGTACGAGGTGAGCGAGAGTGACGGACATTACGCTCTTCTCTAAACTCCCCACGAGTGTTAGTGCGTCGCTGCGATGGTGAACGCTCATAATATTGCTTCCTGCGAGGGGAATGGTAATACTGTGATGGTCACTATATGCGGGGCTATGTTCGCGTGAACGTACACTATGGCGCC